ACGCAGCACGAATAAGTGCAAGCAGAATTCAGTGTGACAATAGGAGCTTACATCAGAGTGACAAATCTAAAAGGAAAAAGATAATCCTGGGGCTTCTGGCCTGAAGATTGTTCATAGGGTTGCTGAGGCTGTTGGCAGCGGGTGAGCCAATTACGTTGCGGCCGAGAGCGACAAAATACAAACGTGCCATTAGTACCAAATGTTAGTCCATCAAGCCTATACGATGTGACATTTCGAAATGGAGTGAAGTTTGGCTATGAAGGTAAGTGAACTGATCGACAAATTGATAATGGGCCCTCTTCATTATCATTTCTCAGCGGGTGTTCTAATCAAACGATAGTGGTAAACCGTAGACAATTTAATCTGAAGATAACTCATTTTTATAAAGTCCGACTTCGGAATGCCCGGTCCTTTATGAAGAGAATCAAATGCAAGCACAACAACACATTCACATACCAATCTGTTTTGAACGAATACTCACCGAAATCGAGTTAAATCTCTCGTTTGTGGTGTCCTTTTACGTAGTGCACCTCTTGCTTGCAATTATAACAGATTCAATAAAGTAAGTGAGGGAATGTGGTTGGGTCAGCTACTCTGCAATATTAAATCATAAATCCACTTTTAACAGATCGCTCAGATTACCTAAATGTACACGTTTATTTTTATTGATTAGGCGCCATTCCCAAATTTGTCCCTCTAGAGCTTCTTAGTCAGTGCGGTCGCGCCGAACAGATCTTTATTCATTTTTTGTGGCGAAGTGGATAGTGGTTTTGGCAAACACTTGCACGGGAAGTTCTGGTGAATAAACATGCATAGGAATTAAACATTATTTTGTTAACCAATAAAAGTAAATCAAGTTCATGGAAACACCATTGCAGGGTTTTATTCATCAAGTAACTTTATGCCAACTGATCGGTTCTACGTAGGAGTATTCTAGGTATGTTTTGTGAAAAATGTGGACAGTAGTATGGCCTTATCTGCTTGAAGTGGCCACATTGAGCAGAGGGCAGGCTTTATTTAATACTGTCCTGCCAGAGGGTATTTCATTGGTTGGGCTTGACAAAGCAATAAGTGCTTGTCGGAAAACACAACAGAATCGGAATTGCTTTACAACTCTTCTAAATTACTCGATGTATCAACTGGTGAACATTTCTGCGTTAAACAGAATTTGTCTTCTCCCAGTGTCGCGCCTCGATATGACGACAATTAGAGACCCAGGAGGGTTGGTGACGGAGCTTAGGTGACCGTCGTTGGACAATTACGAAACTCACTATGGTTAGGGGGCTATCTGCTGACTGGATTTAAAACACATAATCCAGCGAGGTAACGAACAGCTTAATACGTACGAGTCGAGTTTAAAAAAAATGACGCCAGGGTTTTGGCTACTGCTGAGCATTTGGACATAGACAGTTGCGTAACTTGTCATATTAACAACAATGCAACGTTTGAATTATGGTACCGACAAACCAAAGCCCACAAAAACTGTAGGTGTTGTACCGCTATGTTTCTACAAAGTTGCAGATGGGAAATTATGAATACACAAAGTATGTGACTCCAATGGCCGTTGACATTTATGAGAAGTAAAGAACAAATGTTTAGTGCTGACCCATAATTATTAGTGTTTCTCTAACACGAGAGCTGCATTTGCAACCTCCCGAATCAATCTTGTCTAGGTATAGCATGAAGGTTTGTGGAATCTAAGCAGAAAAATTCAGCCAAGTATATTAGTTAAGTCATGTGTAAAAAAATATTATTTGAGTTTTATTAACACAAATCATTTGCTTCAGATTAGGGATTGTTTTAATAAGATTGAAACCCATAATATTATGAACGCTTTCCAGGTATACCATTGTGACAAGCCCATGTAAGGCAGCAAAACTTGTATGGTTTATCGAACAATTAGCATTCAATACAACAACAATTTCGCGACGTGTGCAAGCTCATCTTGAACCACCATTGGAATTGTGTAGAGTAATTTCTACGAGCTCCCTTCAAAAGAAGAAGAGATCAACAGGCTCCAAGGCAGTACAGTCGATTCTGATTGTGCTCATTGGTAATTTCTAAAATAATTGCAATTGTAATGGTATGGGTAAATAAGGAAGATTGATAGAAGTGCGAATGGGTGACAAAATAGCCCTTTGATGAGGTTAGATGGAGAAAAATTGACATTATGTATGACATAAATTGTTAGGTGACCAAAAATATTTCGCCCTAATAAGATTGGCAGCTCACACTAGATGGACAAGGCCATGACAATAAATTTCATTGCGCACCATACATTTGACAGTACCTCCTACGATGTTGGTGCGCACCTAGTTATTTATATTTAAACCTGCTTCTAATCAGAATGGTAAGGCAGAATAATACGCGAGTTTCCGACCAAAGGAACCACAACGGCTTAATTGGTTGTTTTAATAAATCACCCTTAAAATGTTTGCTTTTAATCCAGCATGATATAACCACAAAACGCTTTGTTCTGTTTTCCCGAAAATCGATCACTTAAAAACGGAAACGAAAATTCCAACCGTGCTAAACGCTTCAGCAGTAAGGGCTTTAGTTCTGTGGAGGCACGCTTGATTCATCTTTGGCGCTTAAGTCTTAGAACCAAATAGCGCTTCGGGCAAATGAAGTTGGCGGATTAAAAAAAAGCCCAAATACATTTTGTGAGACTGTTTCTACCCAATCCGAGAATGGATAAGGATTGTTTCTATTTGAAAAGTGAAATGGAATTAGTCAACAAATGTTCATTAGTCCTGATCGCGCTTTGAGAATATAGTAGACGGTTGACGTTGGCGACTTGACTGCTGGCAAAAGCTGATGGCTCTTGTAAAATAGGGCAAAAACGTGTTCTTCAAACTAGTCCCGCCACATTTTTCGTGACAAATGCTAGGAACCCACCATAGAAGCAACATATTTACATATATTCTCAATGGACTGATATTACACAGGCAAAATCTTTGAAAGCAACCAGCCCAATGGGAGAATTCTTTTCAGAAATGCAGATTTGGGAAGCAATTTTTTACGCAAAATATTCTGTCCATTATAAATTTAACACAAAAATAACCAACCGATAAAATGAACTTTTTCACGTGGCCTACAGAAATGGCTCAGCAATGATTTTAGTGAAAATGTAAGCGTGCAATTACCGGTTTTCTTGAAAAATAATTGCGTCACTTCGATGTGGTAAAAAAGCTCGCACGTTTGGTTAATTTGATTAAGGAGTACGCATTACTGGAAAACTATAGAAATATAGTAGCAACAACTTTTTAACCAGGATATATTATTCATTTTTGATAAACCGGTGGGTGATTAGCGCTTTCTTCTCGCCTTCATTTAGTTAATTTTGATTCATGCAGCAAGACTTGTTCTCAAGTTGACTCATCCACTACAGGCAATATTTCCGGGTCATTCACTGACATTTTTATCCACCACAAGTACTAAACAAATATCAACGCTCTATAAATCTACTGATGTAACGTTTCTTCAGAGGTGAAAGCTTTGGCAGAATAAAGTTGAATCGTGTGTTCTAATTTTTCTCCAGCAAGCGGTATTCGTTCTTGTCTTACATATAAAATCTTTGTCTTTGTTATCAGAAAGAGGTGTTACTCGAATCCATAAGTTATCACGGGTTATTATCTAGTAGAAATATATGACTAGTTCGGAGGTTTTTGAAGGTCCCGCAATTGGTACTATCGGTTACGCCATAAACATAAGGGAGTGTGTATACGAACATGTCGAACGGACAAAATGAGCTAACAGCTGATGGATTTCAGTGAAAACTGTGACATTATCCTGGTAAAGACTGTTACCATTTTTACTCCGAACATACAAGAAAGTATAGTAAGCGCTTGGCACAAGGATCTAGAAATGAAGGCAAAGCCGTTAGTATAGTGAAGACCTTTCATAATCAAGCTAAATGTGCTCACAGCATGAAACAATCGCTGCCGTAGTTATCCAAACGGTGGTTTGTTTGTGTTAAAATCTAAATTTACCTTGTAACAAAATGAATTCAGATTGAATCCTGGGATCAGAGCGGCACAGTCATTCAACATGTGTAACGTATGATCACAGGACATTCTTCGTTATCTAATGGTTTGTATTTAATTGCTCACAATTCCTTCGACTGGTAGCCCAGAAAGAATATATGACGAATGAAAATATGAAGAACATATGGCTAATAAACCAGAGTAGTAAACCTACGCCATAATTGGAAGGTTATGGGCAAACATTCTAGTGTTCTCGACTTGCTTCTCTTCGGCTTCACCTAGATATGCAGCAAAGTGGCTCATCAACTTCATAGACTTCATAAGACTTCATTACATATCGAGTTATTTGTGCTTGCCACGACGAATGTTCAACGATCTAAAAACGTAGTTAACCCTCAGATGACTAAAATGACAATACGTGTTTCACGATTGGCAAGTGTGACGTTTTAAATATGATTGCTCTTACATCTTATGAGGCCAGCTCATCACAGGCTACTTTCCTATTGGTGGGCATCCCGCTCGTTTCCTTCGGAAATTTGTGTGACATAACTAGGAAGTCAAACACTTTCAGAAAGATTGATATACCTTCCATAACTTTTTTCCTCGGGTAAATCCGTCAAAACAAACGGCAAACTTTGCCGTATGGACAGCATGATTTTTACACATGTTTAGGGTTAGCACAAGCGAGATCGACAAATATTTAGGTGGAGGTTAATTGGTGCATACAAACGACATTGAGTGTTCGCAATACGTTTATCAATAACGATGCAATCTTTGTCTACCCACCGATTCGATCGTCTTTTTCGGCTAAACGTGTGCTTCGCAATGTGCGTTCACGTGTTTCGTTTCAGAAGTTTAAAGATCACGGCATTATACGCAAGATTTATTTTCGTGTCTAATTTTACGGCTAATAACTTAGCGAAGTATTTTATATTTCTACATAAAGCAGTCTGTTATATTTGTTTTTCGATATGGGATTGTCTTTCAATTTTGTCACACACATCGGACAATTACCGAAGCGCCTTTGGATCCGCGTTCCTAGAATTCAAGCCAAATCCTTCGTTAATGGTGCTCACTTAAAAAGAAGAAAAAACAGTCGGATTTGATAACTCTCTTCATGGACGTGCATCTGAATACATGCATCTAAATATTTGAACGATTGACGCTCACTAGTAGTAACAGTGGACGCAGCAATAAATATTTAAATAAACTGTTTCGCTAAAATCTTCCAACCTCATTCATTACGGAAGATTTATGGTCGAAATATTTCAGATCAAAGAGTAATACAATTATTGAGCAAACTGTTCGCAGTATTACAGCGAAGCAGAAGAATTCAAGCCAAATCCTTCGTTAATGGTGCTCACTTAAAAAGAAGAAAAAACAGTCGGATTTGATAACTCTCTTCATGGACGTGCATCTGAATACATGCATCTAAATATTTGAACGATTGACGCTCACTAGTAGTAACAGTGGACGCAGCAATAAATATTTAAATAAACTGTTTCGCTAAAATCTTCCAACCTCATTCATTACGGAAGATTTATGGTCGAAATATTTCAGATCAAAGAGTAATACAATTATTGAGCAAACTGTTCGCAGTATTACATACCTGCGAAGCAGAATGAATGCTCTTTGCCTAAAGGGCTAATCACCAGACAGACTGCTCCAGCTAATGCAGGCGAGCATTGGAATGCAAGCTAATAAGACATATAATGCCCACCCGAAGAGGATAATAATGATGCCGATATCTCATTGCTATACATTATCAGCCAAAAGAAAATAATGTGAACGCCGCATTAGATAAAATCTATCGAAAGCGAAATTGAGCCAAAAAATGACGAGGCTAAAGAAGAATTATTTTGCTTTTTTGAGGAATATTGGCCTCATAAATTTTCTCTCTACTCTGAGTCGTTTCATTTTGATATATAATCCTAAGTTTAACTCAGCTCATTTCTGCCGGTCTGACGTTTGTTTGGGCGGGTAAGTTTACCAATAAAGGCACCGCCGTTCAGATTGCTTGCACAAATATTCTGTCCATAACGAGGTTACGAACGACGTATGAACTTCCCTTCAGCCGGGCTGCACCTTGAGAAAGCACACACCAGTTACCAGCTCACGTCGCATATAAATTAGTTTCGAATTTCTGCGCAACGGTATCTTGCTCGAACCAGGGTCAAAACAGTCGACGAAATTATTCTGAGATTTTGAATTTTAATAACTTTTCGGAGGATGGACAAGCGAGTATCAAGTCAAATATTTAGAATTATGATGAAACTCGAAGACGAATAATATATTCAGTTCTCAATTTGGTGGTAAGGTGCATTCAATAATTGTATCGGTGATTTGTCACCAAACAGTTATCAAACACACCACCGCACATAGCTTCATTTATCAGCTGGTTTGAATTAAATAAAAAACAAGACTGTAAATAAAACAAATTGACGCTATTGCGTTTCCAAGGCCGCAAAAATGTTTGCAGTTTGCTTAGTTTGGACTACAAGCGGAATACAATTCAATTTTCTTTAAATCAAATTTTGCGCTGAAAGATATATTAACTCCGTTATTTGGTTAAAGGATGCCAACGCAATTAAAATGCAGTTCAGAAGAAAAATGCTGATTTTATAATAATACATGCATCTGGTTTTCAGAAGTCAACGCATTTTAGCTTTCCTCAGATGTTTCTCAATAGATCACATGCATTTGGCGATCTAACAATCCGTGTGGTCTTAATGTTGTGGGCCAATGACATAATTATGGTATGATGGTTATGGTTATGGTTATGGGTATGGTGTGTTAAGCTCGAAACTGTTCGGCAGTGAGCTGAGTATATCTCACTAATGTGACTCAGAATTATTTAGAGCTTAACGAAAAGTAACTTTAATTTATGAAAGTGGCTCACCAAGGGTAAATTGAACTGCACGAGACCGCTGGAGCGCAAGCAATGTTGAAGCTAGTGAACTAGTCTTGAACTTCGGTCAAACGCCTATGCTAGTGAATAGAAGCGATTGAGTAACACCCAAAGGTAATAATCAGCTTTGTGCATTCTATGAGACTTCTTCTACACACGCACTCAGCTGTTTTGTCACAGGCAACTGACAAACGACACGTTGCAACCACGGTCACCCAGAGTCCCACTCATTCATAAATCCCTCAGCAATTGGTTAATTTACGACAACTTCGAAAACATTGTCCACGTCGTGTGGACAATATTGCATTCGTGTGTGTTTGCAGCGCGAGTAGAATTTACAATATACAGTACAGGTTTTATTCCATCAATTAGATCAACCATGACAAGGGAGTAGGAGCACCCCAAACGACCACAGAGTTCATTAACAACGCAGGTGATGCCTAACTTACCAAACTAATTTTCCGCAACCACAAAATTAAACTGAATAGTCTATGAATATACTTTCTCAAAAAGAACAGCTGCAACATTGGGTTTCGTGCAGCGCATTATTCTCATAATCCTCAGTCATGCAGAATACGTTGGATATTGCTGCAGGACCTTTAAGCATACATTGAACGGAATTGTAGTCGAAGTTTTTATTTGAAATTCACATACCCAATTTCACTACGAAAATTAGTGAAATGATTACATTTTTCTGGTTACTCAATTGCCAATAAGTAACCCGTATATCGGAAAACGGGAGAAAGCAGGCTCGTACGTTAAAAAGCATAACCCACATAAGCGCCCAGTGTCCAGGTTGTGATGTTAGGGTTTTCTGTTGAGAAATCCGGATAACCAGCGCATACAGGTCCCAAGAGCGAGTTTTTCAACCTGTGCAAAGACGTGTTTGCTTATCAATTGTGACTTTATGCTGAACGCCATCAGGAACTTCTTCATGAGAGATGCACAAAATTATACAACCAACCTCACAGGTTTCTTAGTTTTCTGGTGGTCCACAATCAGGGAAGTGTGTTGCAATGCGTAAGAACTTACGGGGTTAAAAACAAAGTTTTTGGAGCACTTGACATAATTGATCTTTTAAAATATGATGTGGAAATATTTACCACCGACACCTGCCAGTGATTTTCTTATTACCTTGTCGGCATATGCTTGCATTCATCTTAATAAGACACACGTCTGCTTAAACTGCACTAGGTAGTAATATTTCATGCTTCGAGTTGAATCCTCCAAATCGTTTAACACAACAGTTTGTTTAATTAAACTTACACATTAGAGCACACAGAGGCTAAAATATGTAAAAATGCCACGATGCAACGGCCCACTTTTGTAGAACGAGCGAATAGCCGATCCCTGTACCCGAGATTTGTGGGTGCATGCTAACCAATAAAGCTTCACTGGAAATCTTTGGATTTAAATTCTTATGAATTTTTATTGGAATAACTGTGTATTAACTGTACTTAGGCAAACTTCGAAGTGAAACCAGCAGGCAAATCGACACAAATCACAATTTATGGGACCTAGTAAAGTGCCAAACACATGCGAATGGTCCAAAATCTGCCCAGACTTAATGTTGCAATATGCCCGAAAATCACCATTGGCAATACAAGATGCTCTTTTATGAAGTTCAACAGAAGAAATGCTGCAATAAATGGTCCTTAGACAACAAGAAGAATCTTTGACAAATGAAGCACGGTTATCAATTTCAGATACAGCATAAGTTTTTATTTTCCTAGATAAATCATGCATAACGAGTTTAAATCAAAAGTCTAAACAGATAAATTCAGGGCAATAAGTAGTATCTGCCATATAATCAGCTGTAAAACAAGGCACGTAATTTGGTGGCGGAATTCCTGGGGGAAAATTGCAAAATGTGCAACCTATAAATTTGCATAAAAAACAGTCATCTGACAAGAACGTAGTAAACAGTTAAGGCTGATGTAAATTGGCAATTTACTCAGAGCTAGACACATTAACACTAAAGAGTATTTCACATTTGGACTCAAGGTATGCCTAGTTTGATGCCGTACATATTATCAGCTATAAAACGTGCATTGAAATGTTTCCACACCAACACTATGCAAGCACACATCAATATTTCAACCTTTCATTTTGAGCTAGCCCGAAAGGTTAGTGGATGCCCATCCTTAAACACATTCAGATACAAAAAACCGGACGTTTGCAAATCTAAAACTGATAACATCTGTGGGGTTTGTGCGATACCTGTTGTTTTTATTCACATTACTCTTTCAAAGATTCGTATGCAGTTCCAAGCACTGCGCCTTCCCTCTCAATTTTAACGTTCTGTTTTTGCAATATTTATTCAAGCTTTGGCATCATCAACTGGATAGTGAAGCGATTCAGACAATTCAAGCCTGTACACTTAAATTACACTCAGGGTTAGTTGTTACTTAGAAGCAAACATATATCCCATAATGTTTTCTATAATACTCCGGTCTTAGTATTTTGGTTGCCTCCGCTCCGTTGATTTTAATGCTGTCCTTAAATTACCAATATACAATCGGTAAATGCTTTACTCATCGGTTTATTAATTGATGGCACGAAAAGCACGCAAAATGAGTGTGCATTTTTAAAGGTGTATTTTGTGGATCTTGTGCTTCTCAAAGTAACAATACTAAATGGCTACATACTTTATATAATCCCATTTGTGTACATAATAACGAAAACGTATGTAGATAAAAATTGTCAAATTTCTGAATTTGTATTTTCTCACAAGCCTCCTCATTAGATATCCCATATTCACCCTAACACAAGCTGCACAACTGTGTCATGCTCTTAAAGTTTAACTAAGAGTTCGTGTAGCGCGTTATCGTCTTTATCCATCTGAACTGTTTTTTTAGTGAAATGTTTAAAATACAATAATTCTAACTACGTAGGATATTTGCGTTACATTTTTTACCGTAAAATTGCTTCAGTTAGCTGAATATATCCTGGAATATTTGAAGTGAGTATCAATTTAGCCGTTTTGTTCTATTCTTTTTTCCTCCCGTTTCACCTCAGGTTGTTCTCAGGACAGTAATGTAGCCTGAACAGTTCGTGGATAAGGAAGACATCTGAAGGCGCAATATTCTCTTCTTGTTCAAATTTCTAATTATTCTACATATCAAAGTGGACACTGAGAGTTGACATTTTGCCTCCGTCTTCAAGGATCCATTTTTGTGGTCATTTTCTTATGCACCCCATACACAGTAAACAGCCTGGTCACAACCGTTACTGCATTTGCCTTTATTAAAGGTAATGTGGTATTTTCCTGCACAAGTTTACTTTTCGGGAAGATCGTAAATTTTACTAACATAAACTTGCCCGCCACAAAGTTTCAGGAGTTTGATTTGTGTGAAAAAATATGTTATGCGGATGTGGTAAATAAGCCAGTCCATATATCTTGATAAACTTTTCTAATAAACTCAATTGCACTAGCTTTAAAATCACCACTCCGTCTTCCGGTTGTTCTTAAAGGGATACGCTGCTTTGGAACTTCTTAAAGCCTCGCTGACTGCTTCTTCCAGTGACTTCCATAAGAATGAAACAATTGCGCAACTGTTTCCGAATTCTATGCATCGATCCTACTAGCCCTAGTCAACAGCCCGATAGGAGACAGCAAATTTTGGTTTGAAAGCATATTTTTTATATCTGTTGAAAACCCGAACGCATAGTACCGGCAAGTTAACATGATCCAAAGCGGACTGGAGAATCCCACTGCAGTTCAGTCCAATGGGACATTTCCGTGAATTTGCGCACAGGTCACACGAAAATCTCCAGAGGGATGTAACGACTTATGGTCTCGTCCATAGCGATTTCCGTAAAATTTGCGCTTGGAAGTTGAAAGCATATTAAGTTAGTGCGAGGCACGCACGCGCCTTAGTAGGTGAAATCACTTTCTGGTACATGCTAGTTTGTTCACTAATGCTTGTGGATAACTTGCGTGTACAAAATCCAAAACATTGATTGACTTGCTTGCTTAATGCATTGCCAGCGCAATGCGTGTGTTCCGCAATAGTCAATTATTCGAGCAGTATTGGAACAAATACATGAGAAAACGTGCCTGAATATATCGGCAAGTTCTCCCATTTGTGGACATATTTTGACGGTCAAATTGTGTCCCATAAATTACTCTAGCTATACAACGCAACGGACGTGGAACAAACATATTCTTGACTCAATTTGTTTGTTAGGTTAAACAAGTTTACGACAGGAGTCTGATGAATTCTAACTAAATTGATAAAAAATGTATCTAAGCACTCAACTACAGACTTTGAGTGACGCATATTCATGAAAGGTCTGGTAAAAAAAGAAATCCACAACTAATTCATTCAACGTGACAATATAGAATACTAAGCTTTGAAAAAGTAGGTTGATGCCATTTTTTCTTTGTTTGTGAGTAAATGTACAGAAGAATGCATAGAATTACCGAGCCCGCCGCTTGCACAGGGAAACAGGCTGTGGTGTGATTTTGTTTGAGGTAGCTGCACCCCAAGACAGATTCCAAGAGAGGGTGCTTCGATCGCCAGCCATCAATAATGATACATTCAGTCGTTGTGCAAATAATCCGCGTAGGGATATTATGACTCTCAAGCGTAACATACTGCACATTCCAGAGAAAATGCAAATAAAGACAGCAGGCTCATGCGTGATAGAATTGAAAGATTTATTGAAATGCAGGGAAATCATCAGGGGTAAACCTGTTACTCCAAGACACCTGGACCAAGAACTGTAGAACAAACAGTGCCTTCCAGTCTACATTGTTTGAATAATCACCTCTAGCTAAACATTTATGTCAATATCGGTTCACCAAAATGTGTCATTTTATTACACATCCCTGGATCTGTGTCACGACGCTTAGTTTGTCAACGAAACCTGCAACATCAAATAAGCAATGTTTTCTTCACCTGCATGACGAGATTTTCATTCTACATTCTATTCTTAAATCAACTACTTTTACTCTTGTTCAGTTATGGGGGGCCACCATACAAAGAAATTCCAAGAAATGTTAGTAGAGTAGCACCAGTAGTACCGTGTCGCGTCGTAACCCCGTTTCATTCTTTAACCCACAAACATGAGCAGAACCGGCCAAACGTAATTTCGCACACGTGTCTCAAACCGCGGCAGCGAAACGTACGAGTCCACATGCATCTCCAAACAAGTCACTGAATTTTGGCACCCACATACAATGCGAATCTCAACTACTAACTGAAAAGTGCCCGTTGTCTTCGCACGTTCTCTGATTACTGCTGCAAATTCTGTCCATAATGGAGTGAATTTTACCAAGAGATATCACATCCCACATCTATTCAAGGTCAGCATACAGCCATGGATGCATAAATGACAGTTGTAAGGTAGTTTGTGATATTGCAGATAATTTCTATCCACCTGAAATGAAACCGTAACATTTGCACATCAGGTAAGATATTCCTACCAAATCAAGTGTAAAGATAACGAAATGCTCGATTTAGCGAGCTATTTGATAATTTTAAACTTTGGGCGAATCAGTCGAGTAAACTTCACGCTTGCGAATTTTGGTACACTCGTATACATCTCGTTTGATTTGCAACAAATTCCGGAAGTACATTGTCCATTGGTGGAATATTCAAAGCTTATGGGCTCACAAGGGATTCTAGCTATTTAAAGCCGGACAACGCAATCGACTGCGAATCGCGAGTATGTAAATCGAGCAGAATCATCCCCTGTAACACTTCAGTATGGCGTAGTTTACCAAGTAAGATAAACACTTTTGACAGAATGTAACCACTCATATATATATATATATATATATATATATTCACATAACCTAGCAAAGAAATTCTATAGGCTGGTTGTCTTTCTTCCTGTAACGGAGCCCCCAGTGAAAAGCAAATAGACAGCTTCATAGCACAGAAATACTTCATTTCAAGATGTCAACTCATTAGGAGTGAAACCGTGAATGAACAATCCATTTCTTTTTATCACCGCCAATGTAGAAGCAGCTCGTTAATAGGGGCTGTTTCAAAGTCGCAATGATAAGGCCTATCAAGCACACTCCAGAGGGAGGATACATAAGGCATATGAGTTTTCAGCCAACTATTAAGGACTGGAATCCAACCGTGATCACCGGTAGCTACCTCACTCTATTCGGCAGCATAGCGCTGCAGACAGTGCTGCAGGGACACGTGTGTTCTGAATTGACACACTGAAATTAGAACATTTGTTTCTATTAACCATTCAGGATTCAGATTATATATATATATATTCACAAATTTAGCAATGTGAACCGAACTTCAAGAAAAGACTCACTCACCGACTGGATTTAACTGCATTCGCATACGGCTGCCACTCGGGGGAGGGGGAGTATGCACTTATAAGAAACAGACGCACCTTATTTTCCCACACCCCATAGCACACCACCATGACTTTCGTCATGCAGGGGACCGAAGGGTATTCTAACTAGCATGACTCCGCCGACATAATATCCGGATTATGTCCACAGAATGGAAGCGAATTGGTCACTTTGATGTTGGTGAGCATCCCAGGATCCTCTCTAAACTTTCACATGTTTTACACTCTAAAAGTAAGTTTAGTTATCCACCAAGGCGTACAGAACACCGATCGACTTAATAATGAGATAAATCTACACTGATCTGTAAATGTGAGTAAATGGTGCTCAGAGACATAGCACTGCAGTATTGAGTTATTTGGCGACATGATATTCCAAAAATATGGCAGATACGTTTAACATTACAAATATTTATGTTTAAATAACCCAATAAACGTTTGCAATAATTAGAAACTCTAGAACAAGTCAAATGAAAAATACGGGTGTGTTGAATATCGTCCGTCCTGGGGTACTTGCGGTTAAGGTATGAAAATTTGCTTGGCTGGATTGAAAGTAGCCTTTCCTGAGACCACGTGATATATCAAATGAGGATCAGCAAAGAGCTTTAACTGAATTTTGAATTTCCAATCCATCTAAAGGGGGTATCGGTATCTTTCAGTTGGAGACGCAAAATCGATTAGTTAAGGTACCTTTTATTTCGTTGGTTGGTTTGCGCAGTTGGTTTGAGACGATTGACAGTTTAAAGCTTCCAGACGGTGAATTAGAATGTGTCCATCTTCAGCTATGTTGGAAAAAGTTGTTTATACTTTTGTAGCATGTGAAACAACCATTTTCGGAATTTGTTGACACGTCGCATCCGCATGGGATGCATATTTGCTTACAATCACCACCACGAACCCTTCCTTTTACATGCGCTTTGAATTTTCGAAGTTTCGTTGCCCATTACTTATTTTCGTGAACAACCAGCATAATCATTTTTGGCATGCCTCGGTTGCGTTTTAGTGACCTAAATGTTTTGCAACTTTGTATTATTTTTAATTTGCGGTCTAGGACTTGATGCAAAACCAGTGTTGTAATCACATTAGACTCGCGCATCACTATTGTAATGTGCTGCGTTTCCGGACCAGCTCAGTGACACCACAGTTCAACATTAATTTGTCCTTGTTACCAGGATGTTCATCGGTGGGTCTGATTTTTTTAATATTACTATGTAACTTGGGGCAGCATCATGCCCATTTGTATCGCAATTTGATGACTGAAAATGAAACCAAAGGAGCTAGTTATATTATCAGCCCCACCTCAATATCGGCTTACCAAATCTGGTGTATTTGCAATAAAAATGGTTGCCTCCAATTCTGTTAGTTCAGAAAAAAATTCGCTTGGCACAGACCAACAAAATAACAGTTCGAAGTTATCGGTAGGTGGACTAGTTTATTTTGAAAGACCGAAATTGGTTGCCATATATTTGGTAACCGTACTGCGGGATATCAACTCAGGATGGGATTCCTCGAATTTGCGAAATGTTTGATGCAGTAACGACGAATCAACTAAACCTTATTTTCAGAGAAAAAGCTCCGAAATAATTCTTCAATTGTGAAGTGACGTTTCACCTGGTGGTTCGGTGTTCCTCCAAAATTTTGTCTGTGGTATACCTAAACGTTACTTTAATACAAAACTGTTCACGATTAGCAAAGGTATTTGTTGTGCAAGAAGACGAATGTTTCCTATTTCCTAAAGCGGGGAAAATTTAGATTTTATGGTTGGAATTAAAAGGTGTTGACAAACGTTTTTACAGGAATTGAACGGGCTTAGCATTTTTTTCATCCGCATTTTTTTCTACAGCTAGCACTTTTTGAGCGTGAACATGATTGTCGAAGAATGGTCATGGGAAGGGGTTACATTGGAATCCCGAGGAATATGCGAATCATTTCAAGATTCGGTGGTATAAATGCATCCGATCCAGTGCGAATACTCAATGCTTCACCGGAAAACAGCTATTAACCCACTGTCCATATATGAAAAGTTGTGTTGCTTTAAACCACTACCAAGAAACTACGCATGCTGTTCATTAAAACACGCACCGGATTAATGAAACTCTTCACGAATAATAACACAAATTTTTCGAGGCAAGTGGTATTATGTTGTACTATTAGGGCCCAACCTGCACTCATGTTGATTGCTTCTTAACCTCAGACTAAACGTTTAGTACGTTCCGTAATCTGGCATGAACTATAAAGTTATGTAACTCCGTACAAAAATGTTTTGGTTATTCAGGCTTATTCCACTTTTTAGAGGAAACTGTCAACCAGAATCACCGAACACAAGCTCGCCACCAAGAGACATGACCAACTCTCTCAGCCCTGCACACGAAGATGGGGAAGGACACCATTTCGATTGGAATAACGTCAGAATACTGGGCCAGGCAAGAACAAAGAAAGAACGCAAGTTCATGGAGGCGTGGTACTCCACTGGTTGAGCAATAGACAGGCACATTGAGGTTGATCATGCCTACCAGCCTCTTGGGACAAAGGAAACCCAGAACCACAGAACCCGAGGCCGAAAAAGGACTCAAAGAAGAAATCAATAGAACAGCAGGCTACTAAAAATAGGAGGCACGCCACAAACCAACAGAGGCCAACCACGACGCAATACAGATCAAGAGCGGGTTAATCAGAATCCAGGTTACAGCGCAAAGGCTGCTCTTTGTAGACTATATAAACGCAGGCACGAAGAGAGGAACTACCCAACCAACAGCGCACTGAAGATGTCTCCTCGATTGGTGACGAAACGTTTGCAAACCAATTGCCAAGCTCGGCGAACTGATCAACAGCCACCTGATCAATTACCGAACAACTTGTCAAATGAATACACATTTTCTTAAAACGTCGATGTTTGGATAACAGTGTTATTACGTCAAAGACCGCCGCCTTTAATGACACGATCGCACTACAATCCGTAATGCTTACAATAAAGTATAAAATAGGACCCTACAGATATTTTAAGGTGTCCTGTCTCCATTTCTTAAAAACGACATGGAACAGTACTGATTAAATATATGAGAAAATGACAGCCCGTAGAGTGATTCACCTGGGTATCCTAGTTCCTAAAAACGGACCGTAGAGGTGAATTGGCAAATATCAAATGATAATCATAAGACAGATCTTAGAACTTGTGGGGTCACTACAAATGTAGGCAATTTAGAAGGCATCAGCGAAGTAACTGCGGACCTTTGTCTTGGAGCGAATGAGAAACACACAATCACCCGTATGTAATTTGGAGACTACCGAGGGCCTCAATCTGCTCGAAGTTGACGCTACGAGGCTGCTGCCAAAACATCCAAACTTTAGACTGTAGATTATGTAATCTCAATTGTCACTTACGCAAGCGATTGATTTGGCTTTCGCAAAAAAGTTAGCTTGCATTGATAATTACCCCATTCAATGATAATAATCATATATTATGAACTGAAAATACTTTGCAATGCACCTTATTGGGGAGCTACATGTTTTCACCCGAAAGTCATTCACAACAAAATGACGACAAATGATCTCTGAGGTTAGTTTGCAGATCCTGGGCATGAATGAAACGGAGAATGACAACGATCTATCGACTCAAAATTGGCGTTGTCCCATTGTGCGGGAAATAACTTTGCGAACTATTATTATATGGCACAATATTATGAGCTACAAGTCCACTAGTTGCAGTCAAAAACTGAGCACGCTGGGCAAACAAAATCCACTAAAATTGCAATTTTCCAAAAATATTTGTATGGTCCGGTGAATTTTTAAAAAATTCCACTTGGTCTTAGGGCAATTTTAATAATCAGTCGGAGAACGTAAAAGTGACATGCATCAACAGCATGGACCAAGCATGGCCGGTGCCTAATTCTAGGGCAATCCAGTCGGCTTTCTTTGTGCACTTAAGCTGAGTTAGTGTCTATTGTTCAGCCGGACCTTACTGTAAGCCCGAAATAGGTTTCACATTACTCACTGAACGCCTAATCTCCGGATTCTGGCCTAGAAGCTGTGGATAGATTGTTTCGCGATCGAGTTTCGGGCCGGAAATTGTTGAATAATGCTCGGTCATTTAATGGTATCACTCAATTTTCAGGGTAAACAGTGTGACACGCGTTTGCGCGAATTCATACTTGCCCTGACAAAGTTGGTTTCAGCACATTTCCATGTGCACTCATATGCAATAGATAGCACAAAATATTTGTGTATGCTTAAAGTCATCTTCTGGGCTTTTTATGATGACAATTTCCAAAACGATTAGAAAGCTAATAACTTTTGCCTTAAAAGCTCCTGGTATTCGGATATAGATTGCTTGCATGATTGTGTATGTTTTCGGTGTTCATGCTTCACAAAATAAAGTGCAATTTGAAAATATTTGCCGATTTATAATTGAAGTATTGTAAGAGGTCTCTGTTTCAATCATGTATGCAAGTATTTACGCTAGTGAGGGGGCTCAGAGGATAACCCATTATCCTGCCTACATCTATTGGGCAGCTTCTTCAAATCCAAAGCGACTATTTTCCGTATATAGAAAAATCAGCATTCTCAGATTTTGGTTACTAGTGGAGCCGTACGCATAATGTACAATCTTGTAGGATAAGCATCGTCAGATAGAGAGATGATATCAAAAATCTTATCCATGGGGTTCTCACGCAGCAGTATGCAAATAACTATCTATTACACGTGTGTCCCCAAGACTGTTCTTACGTGAGTTCGTAAGATGTATTATTTTGATGCCAGGTCGAATCACATTCAACCTGTTCCGTTTTCCCCGGTCTGGTTTTGGAAAATATTCAAGGTGTGATGGTATTTCAGGAATCAGGCCATTGTCTGAATACAGGCGTACTCGCTAGAACCACTCATGCAACCGATTTCTTTTTCTTGCATCTATTTGCTAGTCGCGGTGAAAATACTTGTTTCATCAGTGTATCAAACTGAGCCAATGACTCTATGAATTTTGGTCAAAAAGTTTTGGTCATGAATACTTCTAACAAGGAATAACAGTTGTTCCCAGATCCTGCAAACACCTACATCTGGGAAAATTATCATAATAAATAATGATAATAATGATAACAACAATAATAATAATTAATGATAATAATAAAGGGCATCCAAAAAGTCTAAACAACAGGGCAGGTGCAACTGGCATCATGTGTGCACAATCAAATGTTGCGTAATATAATGCTGGTTGGAGATTATGAACCAAAATATAAAGCGTACACAATTAATATGTTCGTGATCTGTAGGACATTCGAATAATCGGTGGTGTGCGTGTGGTTGACCGGCAAATATACCGTAGCGCAAAAGTACGCGGACTCAGCGAAGTTAATTGACACAATGCGTATGTCATTTGTCAACGCAGGCCTTCGAGTCCCGCTTGCAGCCAAGTGGAAATCAGGCGTCATCAATTGCACTCAGTTACGATTATGATGGTTTGAAAAACATAAGCTATACGAAGTGAATAGGTGGACAAATCTTCTGAAAGTCATTTGCAATGATATAGGAAATTCAAATATGACACAGAAGAGAGGAAGACAAAAATGTTAATAAAGTGCGAAACTTGGAGGAATAAAAACAGCCTGAGGTGGCAATTCTTCAGTTCACAGATCTCTGGAGCATTTAATTTGTTGGGCATAAACTGATCGTGGTGACTTCACTGGTTGATACTGTTACCACTTCAGCGTATCACACATTCTTTGCCGACAATCTTACTCTCGCTGGCTTTATTCTGGCTACATAAAAATAACTTGAGATTGTTTAATTTTTTTCGTGAAAAGCGCCGCAACAGCTCACTCCACGTGACGTTCATCAAGTCTATTGAGGCGTGAGCGTATCCAGAAATACTTATTTTTCGAGTACCCTATGAAATAGCAAAATGGCAAAGATGTGTTATTAAATTATCATCCTTGCGCAATACTCGAAAACCTCCTGGCACAAATTTAATTAGGGATTCCTTACGACAACTGAACATTCCTTCTTACTGGCAGCTTACAACTCCGTAGCTTGTTTTGCAGCGCAGCTATGGTCTAATAGATTTAGAATTTGATGAGAAAGTATTGACTGCCCGGTCAATATACGGACACCAGGGTTCTGGATGACTGGACGAAAATAAATGCCACACAGGATATTTTGAGATTGAAAAAAATTACAGGGAAATTAGTGGGAGTTAGTCAAATTCTGCAGAATACCCTTCCCGCTAAATATGTCGGATTTGAACAATAAAATCTTCCAGACTATTCAGACTACAAAGTCATCTGTCGCGCCATGCGAATTGCTGGGATTGTTACGCAATAATTCCTAATAACAACTGACTTGATCTTCCATCTGAGTGATGGGTGACATCACAAGAGACAACTTTGGGATATTTGTTTTGGAACCTCAGAAATGGGTTTTTAACTGATTTATAACCGGTCCTTCTACATTATTGTAAAGTTAACTAGATATGTTTAAGGTCGTAGACGCATTCGCATATGAAAATGGTGGTAAAATACGACTCGTACAAATCCCCTCTCATAGTGTCTACCACCTAATTCTACGCGTTTTTGGTGACATATATATTCCGTGGTTATGCCGCCATTCCATTGTAGTCGTAAAAATGATCGCATAATCGAGATGTGTCGTGATGTTTTACACGATATCTTTTCATCCGATTTGTAAAAAGGGTGCCCAACTAAGTGAGAGTTTTTTTTGTGTGGACGCCTTTGATGTTACCGCCGAACAGTAGTTCAGGTCCAGGAAACAGGACACACTCCTTTCTGCATTCTTCTATTTTATTTCATGAGGACTTAGAAAACAACAGATGATTTTGAAGTGCGCAATGTTTTGCTTTCGAAAATACTCATACAAAAATCGATGTATGAGAAGCAGAGGTACATGGTTCGGTGGATACTGACTCATAGATACCCGAAGATAATGCCTTAAAGATCAATGAATGGACAGCGGAAATACCTTGGTACGCCACTCCGGACTACAAAAGACTACGGTGAACTTAGCTGAGCTAATTACGCACACATACAAAGAGTATGGGGCAGTGCACATCCGGAAGCAGAAAAAAATCACGAAGTTACATCCATTTTGTTCGAACGCATAAAACAGCTCCATCAAGTCCTTGGTGGACACGTTTCTATTCTTGTCGGTTGTCACCCGCGAAACTGGGACGGATTAATAAGAACTGCGAGTGTTGACTTCTTAATATAAGCACTGCTTCGGTAGATTTGGGTAGAAGGGGCAAAGTGGATGCATTTATCAATGCGCTTGAATACTAAGGCATTCCTGAATGCTTTAATGAACGATGAGAACTGTTTCAATGGCTGGACTTTGAATAGGCCAGCGGAATAGGCCGGAGAATAAAAGGGGAAAAATCTAATTCAGCGGGGAGAAAAAGTAGAATATCTAAAAAGATGTTTAGTAGAGAATTCAAAGAAGGGATAGGGCCGTCACTCAAAGGGTATAGAGGCAAAATCGTCCGATTTGTGGAAAATACATGAAGCGACCAACTGGAGCTGCTAGATAAGATATCCCATGGGTTTGTCACACTATTATGCCTAGAAAAATACTGGTAGATCGAGTGTGCTCATTTTTAATGATCACCAATCAATTTATATCCCATAATCCTCAGCACCTAGGTGGTTTCCAGAAAGCGATTGAGCGCACTGATTTCAATGAACTTGCTGCAGCTCTCGTTAGGACAATCGTCTCCTCAATTCTCCGACATCTGTCCCTCCGAAATCCTTACACCTGGTCAATTATCCTCCACCGTCCGCCGAACGACGTATTCTGGATTAATTGCCGCTATTGCATCACTGATCTCATGTACCAGATAGGCTATCATGCATCAAGTGTATATTTTAATGAAATATATGAGGCACATGACACATTCTTTTCGAATGAAATTCCATAATTTTTAATTCCATTTGTGTTTTAACTGAGGAAATCTCTGTTACGTAGATACTGACAAACTTCAAATAACAAGCGACCGAGGGACTGTCATACGGAGTTATTCTCTACTATTGTTAAGTTTCTAGTTAGTTGCTTCCGTCTGAGATACATCAAAGCTACTTGTTGGCAGATAAATCCACGATTTCCGAACAAAAGTTCCACTTAGAAACTAACTTCTCCGTATGCCAACCCCTAGCGGATCTTCGTATTAACCAGCCCTGTTAGCTGCGTATGCACCAGTTTGTTATGATGGCTCCCCCATGGTAATTATATTTTTGAAAGTTTCACCGGGTTGACAGCAAGATGCCTAATACGAGATAATTAGAGCTTCGAATCGCAGTTTTCGCATTTTCTAATGATCCACTTTTAAGATAGTCACAACATTGATGTTTTTTTGGAATCTAAGTGAATCAATGAAATCGTCGCACATAAATTTGCTGCTTGGCATCTACGTTTGTATGATTCATGTGCTCAATAAATCCTTTCTTCATCTTAAATGAGGTCCAGCGACCACATTCCAGTTTGAACGAAGTAAATACAAATTTCATCTGCAAGATGACATTATGCTATCATCAATACAATACAAACGATTAAAAATGAGGGGAAAATGGTGAAAAAATAATCAACGCATCGTCAGTTACCCGTGGTCTATGGGGATCTGGTAAATCAATTAAGACATGCGATCAAAGAATTCACGAGGTATATATCAACGATGGCGAGCTGGAAGGAGGCATGAGGTATGCTACCGGTTGAACTGTCCAAACTTTCTTCAGTTTGCGGGTCTTCAGCTTCACTAATTGACCTGTGGTTAGTGGCAGTTGTTATCGGCAAACTATGGTATGGTGTTTCGGCTGGAGTGTCTGAGGGATTTGGTGCATTGTGCAACGCGGGATCTGCAGTTTGTGTGTCTGTCAAAATCAAAGATTGTGATTTTTGGGTGGCTGTCGAGCTTGAACTTTCCATTGGTTCCCGTGTTTCAACGTTACCGGATTGGTTGGCTTCACTGGTATCCTCGCTAATCCATGTTGCCGGCATACGGGCTGCTGGTTCAGTCGGATTAGAGGTAAACTGTTGTGTGTTAGCCATCGTTGAATCTATGCTTTTGGACTCTGTCACATCCCTAGACTCAGATTCAGGCAGCATATCTTCACTTGAACTGTCCAAACTTTCTTCAGTTTGCGGGTCTTCAGCTTCACTAATTGACCTGTGGTTAGTGGCAGTTGTTATCGGCAAACTATGGTATGGTGTTTCGGCTGGAGTGTCTGAGGGATTTGGTGCATTGTGCAACGCGGGATCTGCAGTTTGTGTGTCTGTCAAAATCAAAGATTGTGATTTTTGGGTGGCTGTCGAGCTTGAACTTTCCATTGGTTCCCGTGTTTCAACGTTACCGGATTGGTTGGCTTCACTGGTATCCTCGCTAATCCATGTTGCCGGCATACGGGCTGCTGGTTCAGTCGGATTAGAGGTAAACTGTTGTGTGTTAGCCATCGTTGAATCTATGCTTTTGGACTCTGTCACATCCCTAGACTCAGATTCAGGCAGCATATCTTCACTTGAACTGTCCAAACTTTCTTCAGTTAGCGGGCTTTCTTCTTCACTAAATAGGCTATATGTAAAGCTGGTGGTCATCGGCGAATTAGAATCCTGTGTTTCAGTTGGAATGTCAGAAGGATTTCGTTCACTAATCAACGATTGATCTGCAGTTTGGCTGTCTGTCAAAGTCGGAGGGTGTGGTTTTTGAGAGGCCGAGCTTGAACTTTCTATTGTTTCCTGTGTTTCAGCGTTCTCAGATCGAATGGTTTCACTGATATCCTCGCTAATCCAAGCTTCCGACATATCGGTTACTGGTTCAGTCGGATAATAGATCGACCACTGCGTTGTAGACATCGTTGAAGCTATGCTTTTGG